AAAAAAAAAAAAAAAAAAAAAAAGTGTCAGCTGACATTATCCCTGCCAAACTTCAAGGCAAAAATCCTGTCACAACAGTGACTGGTGTATCTTCATCATGACAGCTGTATCTTCCCAGCTGTGGCTACCTGAAGCTCATAGGAACATGCAAAAAACAAGGCTGGACATTAATCTGGCAAACAGGGATCACACTGGAGCTACTAGCTCTGCTAGCCAATCTGAACAGTACTGTCTGGTGCCTTAAGGTGTCACTATGCTATGTTCAGCAGTGCCAGAGCAAAATCTGATTTTTTTACATGGTTTATCTCTTTCCTTTTTTTGAAACAGGATCTCATTATGTTGCCAAGGCTGGACCTGAACTCCTGGGCTCAAGTGACTTTCCTACCTCAGCCTCCCACATAGCTGAGATTATAGATGTGTACCACCATGACTGGCTAATTTTCTTTCTTTAGTAGATAATAAGGAATACAGACTTACTAGTAGTTACTATCAATTATAACCTGGGTTCATAGTCTATATCATTTATCAGAAAATGATAATACTCAGGTAAAATGTTAAATATCTTTTAAATAATCCCCACCACAACGTAAACTTCATAAAGGTAGGGTCTTTGTTTACTGCTGCGTTCCCAGTACCTATAACAGTGAGTTATTAGATAATATGTAATTAATAAATATGTACTGAGTTAATCTTTCAGCCATTTTTGAATTCAACACTGTATTCAAGACTCTTCAGAATCAACAAGATTTCTTAGTTTAGTGGAGAAACAAGAATAGAATAATTTCGGCTAAAGGTTTGAAATGTTAAATAAGAAGGAGGGCAATAATTATGTAAATGTATGTATTAAGGGACTAAAATCTCATACGGATAAGAAGTCATATGTATATATCTCAACTGTAGAAAGTAAAAGTGGTGACTTAAAAAATAATTACTAAATTTCCTTTCCCTGTCATTTATCATTAAGTAAATTTATAGAATACAAAGAAAAAAATACGCTGAAATAATCCTGGGAGAAAAAATTCCATGCCTTTGATCAAAATAAATCTATTAATCAAAAAAGGCAGTAATGTACACAAAGCCCTTATCACAAAGAAAAGCTACTTCCTTGATACTTTAACATATTTTTGAATTATTTCAGCTAAGTAGGTGTCAAAGACTTGATTCGAGAGTGGTTCAAAAAGAAAGGATTCTCTATTCCCCTGATTCTCTATTACTGTATTGATTATATAGTTTCTTTTTGTAAGATACGTTCATTCTGACTATTCTTATCAGTATCTATTCTTAATAGCATTTGTGACCCAGAATTTTCAGAGCATCAAGTAAACAAAATGCAAAATTAATTTAAATTTCATTTATAATTACTTAATTTTGATTCACTGAAAAGTCATCTTTCCAAAATTTGAGGCTTCTATTTTAATTATAATTACAGATGTTCCTTGACTTACAATGAGATTACATTTCTTGCCTTNTTGAGACAGGATCTTGCTCTGTTGTCCAAGCTGGAGTATAGTAGCACAATCACAGCTCACTGCAGCCTTGACTTCTCGGGCTCAAGCGATCCATGCACCTCAGCCTCCTGGGTAGCTGGGATCACAGGTGCACACCACCATGCCTGGCTAATTTTTTATTTTTTTGTAGAGATGGGGTTTTGTCATTACCAAGGTTGGTCTGGAACTCCAGGGCTCAAGTCATCCTCCTGGCTCAGCCTCCCAAAATGCTGGGTTTATACGTGTGAGCCACTGCGCCAGGCTGGAGTTACATTTTGATAAACCCATTACAAGTTGAAAATATTGTAAACAGAAAATGCATTTAATAGACCCAACTTACTGAGCATAGAGGCCTAGCCTACCTTAAAGATGGTGAAAACACATTAGCCTAGAGTTGGGCAAAATCATCCAATACAAAGCCTATTTTATAATAAAGTATTGAATATTTCATGTAATTTACTGAATATCATACTGAAAGTAAAAAATAGAATGGCTGTATGGGTACTTGAAGTATGATTTGTACTGACTGCACACTGCTTTCAAACCACTGTAGAATCAAAAAATCCTAAGCCGAAAAATTATGTCAGGACAGTCTGTAGTATTAAAAATTCACTTAAACACAATTTGAATCATCTTAAAGATATCTTTGAAAAAAATTTACATTATACCTTATTCAGAACTTCTCAAGTCATTTGCATTTAACTTTAATTATTAAAATACTAGCTAAAAGTTAGATTTTCAAACATGAACCAAACTATTTTTATATTCTGAATTGTTTATTTAGTTTTTCTTCTCCTAAAGCTATCAAAATAACTGATACTGTAATTTTCTTTTGTTTTATACACTATTTCACAAATTAGCGTGTCATCCTTGCACAGGGGCAATGCTGATCTTCTACGTATTGTTCCAATTTTAGTATATGTGCTGCTAAAGTAAGCACATTTTTCTATGCAATCAATTGTCACACATAACTCTCCTATCCTTGCTATTTAATACATTTAATAGAAGATAGGTAATTTTAACACTTATAAAACTACAAAAGTACCTTTTAAACCTGTATTATGTTAGTTAAAAACGTTTTTAACAAGATAATTTAAGAATTTCTCAAGGAAGAAAAAAATTTAGGTTACAGGTTAATGCAATGATAACATTAAGATACTACTGTACTTGATTTAAGTTATATTTTTATTATTTTATTTATCTTAATGTGAATCTTAGACTTGATAAACTATTATGATACTAGGATTAATGACCTACTCAGGAGACAATTTTACAAATATTTCTCTTTTACCTCCAGTTTTCATATACTGAAGGAGTCCTCTCAAAATAAAATGGTTCACTAACAAGTGGTGACAAATATACTTAATGAAAACATTAAACATGTAACTGCATCAATAATATGCTGTTTACTGAAAAAAAAAGCATAACATATCCACAGTGAAACATTAACAAGGATATAAACACATCGCTGTTTAAGAACAATTAACCTTTAGGATGAGTTAGCATTTCTGTTTCCAAAAGCGTACTGTCCCAAGATTCTTATCAGTATCTGTAAAGTGTAGCATATGGACACACAAATCCAAACCATTTCAAATGTCTGGACTAGTATGATCAATATATTAGTGCTTCTTTTTTTAAAAACAGGGAGTTACAGAAATAATTACCCATTAATGACAGCCTTCTCTGTCCCACAGAAAAGAATGGAAATATGTACAATCAGTTTTCAATGCTGTTTCTTGATTATTGAAGTTGCTTAGGGCATAGGCTCCTTTCAACAGGCAAATGCTAAACTCATTATTCTAAAGGGGAGCTATGCAGACACACTGAGAAGTACACAATGTGGCCATTTAAGGCCAGGTTTTGACTTGAATAGGCACAAAACTCCATCCAAAAGGAACTCCAGAGATGGGTACATGCAAGAGCGGAATGTGGCCTCGGCAAATCGCCTTCCTCATAACTTGATACTGTCACTGGCTATTCTTTCAAATAATGTTTTTGTCCATTTTAAATAGTTAGAAACAACAAAAATTAACATGCTTCAAAACATTTCTTCAGGAAAATGAGGTAAAATAACATGAGAATGTTTGGTGACTTTTATAGCCCTTTGTCAGGGGATAAAATATTTAAACTTTCTTTTTGATTCAAAATAGCCAGTGAGAAGTAAGAAGCTAGGAATCAGTTTCATTTCTATGTGGAGAGCAATGACTTAAGAGATTAGTAACTTGCCCCCAGCTGTTACAAAAAGTCTTTTAGGGAATCAGAAACTCCCAACATCTGTCTCTCAGTCTAATACTTTTTCTACTTAACTGCACTTCATTTTCTCACCAACTGCTTTTCCTATGAATATACATATTTGATTATAGCATGAATACACAATTGCTGCCATAGTCACATACTGTAGAATTTTAATTGGAAAAAAAATTTACAGATATACTTATTTGTTCCATGAAACAGCTATAAATCAAGCCAATGTATTAGATCTCTGTTTTCATTAATTCTACTGGATCTACCTCCACCTTGCTTAAGACGTCTTAGAATTATTTGCTATAAATAAAACCATTTTTAATAGGAAGATAAGCAACTGATATGCCTAAGCTTACCAAACTTCTTGCTTTCTTTAGTTGTGCCAGTCATCTTGATCTTTGCAACTTCAAAGAAATCTTTGATTTCTCTTTCATACAGTCGGGATAAATAATCCATGTAATTCTTAAAATAAAAGTAACACATACTTCTTATTAATAAAACACATATAACAATTTCCATCTTTCAATTCTCCAAGTCCTTCATGCTTATTTTAAATTTCCTCGTGTAAAACTTGGATGTATTTCACAGGATATAAAAATAGGTTATTTTCTGTCTTAAAAAAACAATTGAATCGGCATCATAATATTAACAATTTACAAACGTACGAAGTCAAACATAGCTCTATTTATATTTTCATTTTTCTATATTACCTTTTGCATATTTTAAATATCACTGCAATCATACGATACAGAATATCTGAATCAGAACAATCACATTTCTCCAGTCTCACATTTTAATGACAGCACAGTATTCAGTTTTGTTGGTGTAGCACCATTAAGTAAACCAATCCCCTAACAAAGGACAATGAAGAGGTTCCCATGTTTTGCAGTGATAGACAATGTTACAACGACCTTTTCATTTCTAATGAACTATTTCTTTGGAATAATTCTTTAGGGGTGGAATTACAGGGTCAAGGAGTATGAGAATCTTAATTGCTTTCCTCCGTAATGCCATGCCGCTTTAAAAACAGTTCTACCAATCATAAATAGTGTTAATGGCATTTAAGGATATTTAGTTTCACTAAGCCTCTGTTAGCTTGGGGTATAACTCCAAAACAGGTTATTTTCCCTAAGAATTTAATTAGTATATCTTATAGTTTCCAAAATTAAAGAATTAATTTTCTTAAAACAGATTTGATTCTCAAATAAAAACACCTATCCTTTGACATGCAAAAATCATTTCTTCATCATTTCTACTTATTATCACATAAAAATATACTCTCAGGAAGAGTTCCTCAATAGTGGGAGACTGTATGTTTTTCCAAGCATGAAGTTAAATACCACACACAGAGTTTGACTAAATTTAAAGAAATCCATAGCAGAAAAGTCATACCTATTTCTTTAAGTTTATCATAAAATCTAAGAGCTTCAACTTCCTCTATTATTCCAAATTGCTATGTCCATTTTTAGAACATGTTTACCTTACTTTAAAGATCAGGTATACTTTCCAAAGGGTACATGTTATGTAAATATTTGTATATTGATTCATAGTTTACCACTGATTTTCTTAAATATTTTATAGATGTAGCCTTATAAAATAGCATTTGGACCAAACATAATATAGATCCTGCCCTTTTTCAATTTGTAGGCCATATACATTTTTCATATAATCTCTGTAAGAACACTTAGTCAAAAGAGAAATTCTTTCCTATGATCTTTGTATAACTTTAAAAGCAAATATAAATTAAAATTCCTATTTCATTGGGATGTATTACTTTTTCAGTGGGACACAAATGACTTAAGATACCATTCTCCTGGTACTCAACAGAACTCACTGATAAGAAAGACCACAGGCAGGTTTTACTTTATCAGTGTCTCCCCAAAACTCTGATGCCAGCCTGGGCAACATGATGAAACCCTGCGTCTACAAAAATCCAAAATTAGCTGGGAGTGGTGGCACATGCCTGTAGTCCCAGCTACTCAGGAGGCAGAGGCAGGAGAACTGCTTGAGCCCAGAAAGTTGAGGCTGCAGTGAGCTGTGATTGTGTCACTGCATTCCAACCTGGGTGACAGAGTAAGACTCTGTCTCAAAACACCACACAACAAAAAAACAAAACCCTATGGTAAGTTTTAAATTTTAAGATGATACTTTAGCACCCAAGATCACCATCTTCTCTACTGGCTCTCTGATTTTTATTTTCCTTCCACCAGCCTCAGCTTCTCTGGCTCTCTAACTAAATCTGCCTTTCCTCCCAGCAACTCTTGCTCCTACTATTTGGCTTTCGAGTAGCAAGTGGTGGAACCTGGGTCCACTGTAGAGTCTTCCAGAGACCTCCATGTTTTACTTTTTCTTTATACAATGTAAAAGGAAAATAAATTTTGGGGCCCCAAAATCACTAAGCTAAAGGGAAAAGTCAAGCTGGGAATTGCCTTGGCAAACCTACCTCCCATTCTATTCAAAGTCATCCTTCTGCTCACTGAGATAAATGCATACCTGATTGGCTCATTTGGAAAGGCTAATCAGAAACTCAAAGGAATGCAACCATTTGTCACTTATCTATCTATGACCTGGAAGCCCCCTCCCTACTTTGTTGTCCCACCTTTGCATCAAGTTGTTCAGCCTTTCCAGACCAAACCATTGTTGATCTTACATATGTTGATTGATGTCTCATGTCTCCTTAAAATGTATAGCTGTGGTCCAATCACCTTGGGCACATGTCGTCAGGACCTAATGAGGCTGTGTCATGGGTGTGCATCCTTAACCTTGGCAAAATAAACTTCCTAAATTGACTGAAATCTGTCTCACATATACAGGATTCACAACAATAGGACAAATTCTACAAATGTAAAACTGAGGTGGAGAGAAGACATGTGAGTCATTTTCAAGCCAAACTGCCAATCAGGAGGGTATTAGGAGAGGAAAGCTCCTTTCCTACCCATGGATGGACCATCTCTACTAACTGCCCTACATGTATGACCCAAAGTCACAGATAGGGGTAGCAGTCCTGGGAGGAGGGAATTTGGGCAATCCAAGCTACATCTGTTTTCCATACACCAAAAATTGGGGCATTGCTTAGATTCAGCCTCAGTACAGCTAGAGGCAGTGGCTAGTGATTCTTATTTCCAAAGAATTTTGAACAAGCTTTTCCTGTTCCTGCCAAAAAGAGTGAGCTGTGTAAACCTAACCTAGTGCAAATAGCTTTCTGAATTTAAGTATGATTTCTTGCTAAAGAAATTTAGCCAGATTTGCCTGTTTCCTTCTTTTTTTACTTCCATTCCTTTCTTCCTTTTTAAGTAAAATCCCTGTTTCTGACAACTCTTCAGCAGCCAAATTAGATTATGAGGTAAAAATACATAATCTGTCAAAAGCTGAAATCACAGGATGAAGCGACATTCTTGGGAAAAGGTCATTTTCATTTAAAAAGCTCATTAATATTGTCAATCAAAAATATAGTCTGAGCAGAGAATGATTCCATAAATCTACTAGGCTGGCTATAATCTTGTTTCTTCACTTTAAATTACATTCATGAATACTGCATTATATATAAAGATAGGGCAATAATAGTTACTGGGAACACAATTAGGCAAAAAGCTTATTGATTACTTATTTGAATATTCACTAGGGGACAAAGCACTTGTTGGCACAAAACTCTTAAGGAAATATAATTTATGTTTAATTATTCAGAATATTAATCCT